AAGCGTTCAGGGCAGTGCTCGACCCATAGCCCGAGACACCTACAACACAGGGGAAATCGGGGTCAGCTTGCGTATGATTTTCGAAATGTTACAAGCCCAACAAGCAGTGATAGCTCAGTTGCAGAGCCGAACTCATATGCAAAGCGGGCCGAACTCTGATCCGCTTCTTCGAGAAGTCACCCCCAGAACGGAGCCCGCCGTAGTGAAATCAAAAGAGCAGGAATCAGGGACCGCTCCGGAAATTGCTAAATTGCTCGAGGAACTCACAAAACGATTCGAAGCCAACGACAAAAAAGTGGAAGCGTATAACGCTAGGGTCGATCAGATTTTGGGGGCTCCGCCAATGATAAAAGGGCTCGATTCGAAAAAATTCTTACAAAAGCCTTTTCCCTCGAGCGCGGCCCCAAAACCAATCCCCAAAAAATTCCGTATGCCCGAAATTCCCAAATATAACGGTACGACCGATCCTAACGAACATGTCACCTCCTACACATGTGCCATCAAAGGCAACGATTTGGAGGATGATGAGATCAAATCCGTGTTGTTGAAAAAGTTCGGAGAGACCCTCGCAAAGGGAGCAATGATCTGGTATCACAACTTACCACCAAATTCCATTGATTCTTTTGCCATGTTAGCGGATTCGTTCGTAAAAGCACATGCTGGTGCCATAAAGGTTGCAACAAGGAAATCAGACCTCTTCAAAGTAAAACAAAGGGGTAACGAAATGCTGAGGGAATTCGTATCCCGATTTCAAATGGAACGTATGGACTTGCCACCGGTCACAGACGATTGGGCCGTACAAGCTTTCACCCAAGGACTGAATGGGCTAAGTTCGACAACATTACGTCGGCTGAAACAAAATTTGATCGAATACCCAGCGATAACTTCGGCAGATGTGCACAACCGGTACCAATCAAAAATCAGGGTCGAAGATGATCAATTGGGAGTTCCGTATGGGCCCGTACATCAGAACCACACAACCACTAAAAATCAGAGGGAAATTAACAGAGAACAAAGGTCGAATAGAGACCGATACCAACCGTACGACACAGATCGGATGAACAACGGTTCAACACGTGATACGGTTTGGAACAACCGAAGGACTGATCGGGGGCAAAATTCTCGGGGACTTATGAGCAAGAGCGGCTTTGATAAATGTGCCAATCCTATAGAAGTCCCTCGGTTATCAGAGTATAACTTCAACATTGGTACATCCGCCATCGTATCGGCCATCGGACGCATCAAAGATACAAGATGGCCTCGGCCCATGCAGACCGATCCTGCCCAAAGGAATCCCAATCAAATGTGCGAATATCATGGCACCCATGGCCACAAAACGGAAGATTGCAGGCAACTAAGAGAGGAAGTGGCCCGCTTATTTAACAAAGGACACCTTCGGGAATTTCTGAGTGATAGGGCGAAGAACCATTTTAGAGACAAGGAATTCGGCAAGCAAAACGAGCTAGAAGAACCGCAACACATCATTCACATGATCATCGGCGGCATCGATGCCCCTCAGGGACCGATGCTTAAATGCACTAAAACATCGATTGTGAGGGAAAAGCGATCTCGAACTCGAGATAATACACCCATAGGGACTTTGTCTTTCAGTGATGAAGATACATAGGGAATCATCCAACCCCATAACGATGCACTGGTAATATCCGTACTCATGAATAAAACTAAGATTAAGCGTGTGTTAATTGATCCAGGTAGCTCGGCCAATATCATCAGATCGAGGGTCGTAGAATAGCTCGGCCTGCAAGATCAGGTCGTACCCGCAAATCTGGTTCTAAACGGATTCAATATGGCATGTGAAACCACCAAAGGCGAGATTACCCTACCGATAAACGTGGCCGGAACCATCCAGGAAACAAAGTTTCACGTGATCGAAGGTGATATGAGATATAACACCCTTTTCGGAAGGCCGTAGATCCACAGCATGAGAGCCGTACCCTCGACCCTACATCAGGTCCTCAAATTCCCAACATCGGGAGGTGTCAAAATAGTGTACGGAGAACAACCGGCCGCAAAGGAAATGTTCTTTGTCGAAGAAGCAAAATCAACATCCCCGTCTTCGCCGATAAAAGGATCAGGTTCAGAAGGAGACACAATCGGAGAGCAGAGCGCCAAATAGCAATCACAGAAATCGGCTTCGACCTAGCCAGGTAAGCAGAACATCGAAGAAGACGATGATGATCGATGGATCCCTCGATCCTTCGTAACCCCCGATGATTTTGATGCCACCAAATCAACAATTGAGGAACTGGAGCAAATCATACTAATCGAACACTAGCCCGAACGAAAGGTATACCTGGGAAGGGGTTTGAACCCCGAACTCAGGAAGAAACTCATTCAATTTCTTATCAATAACATCGACTGTTTTGCCTGGTCCCATCTAGATATAACAGGGATCCCGCCAGACATAACGGCGCACCAGCTAAGCTTGAACCCCAGGTTCAGACCGATGAAGCAAAAAAGAAGGCCCCAGTACGAGGAAAAGCACGCATTCATAAAAGACGAGGTAACCAAACTTCTCAAGATAGGGTCCATTCGGGAGTTAAAATACCCCGAATGGTTAGCCAATGTGGTTGTAGTACCTAAAAAAGAGAACAAACTTAGAATGTGTGTGGACTATAAGGATTTGAACAAAGTATGCCCCAAAGATTCCTTTCCACTGCCCAAAATCGATCGTATGATCGATGCCACGGCTGGCCACGAGATCCTCACCTTTCTCGATGCCTATTCCGGGTATAATCAAATTCAGATGAACCCGGACGACCGGGAAAAGACTTTATTTGTGACCCGATATGGAACATATTGTTATAACGTAATGCCCTTCGGGCTAAAAAATGCAGGAGCTACTTATCAACGCCTAGTAAACAGAATGTTCGAAGAACAAATAGGTAAAACAATGGAANAATGGATCGATGGCGGTATGCATGGGTCCGGGAGATACCAATTACATCCTCCGGGAAGTACACGAGGGCACTTGTGGCAATCACTCCGGTGCCGACACATTAGTTCGTAAAGTGATCAGAGCAGGGTATTATTGGATCGATATGGGCAAAGATGCGGAAGAATTTGTTCGTAAATGTGATAAATGTCAAAGGTTTGCGCCAATGATCCATCAACCCGGAGAGCAACTTCAATCGGTCCTATCCCCATGGCCATTCATGAAATGGGGAATGTACATCGTCGGCCCTCTGCCATCGACCCCAGGTAATGCCAAATTTATTTTATTTATGACTGACTATTTTTCCAAATAGGTTGAAGCGCAGGCGTTCAAGAAAATAAGAGAGAAAGAAGTTATAGACTTTATTTGGGATCATATCATATGCCGATTCGGGATACCCGCCGAAATAGTATGCGACAATGGAAGCAATTCGTTGGCAACAAAATCACAAAATTCTTTGAAAATCACAAAATAAGAAGGATATCATCAACACCATACCACCCCAGTGGGAACGGTCAGGACGAATCAACGAACAAGACTATTCTTCAAAACCGGAAAAAGAGATTGAACGACGCGAAGGGAAAATGGAGAGAAATCCTGCCCGAAGTCCTTTGGGCATACCNCTGAAACGATATCTATCGATCCCACCACTGCTTCACACTCCAAAAACCGACAAAAAACTATACTTGTACTTGGCGGTATCGGAAGTCGCCGTAAGCAGTGTCCTAGTTCGAGAAGAGCAAGGTACGCAATTTCCCGTTTATTACGTAAGTCGAACATTAGGAGAAGCGGAAACTAGATATCCGCACTTAGAAAAATTGGCACTTGCGCTGGTAAGCGCATCTAGAAAGTTAAGGCCGTACTTTCAATGTCACCCCATAAGCGTATTAACCACCTGCCCACTCCGTAATATTTTACATAGGCCCGAGCTATCAGGCCGATTGGCCAAATGGGCCATCGAACTCAATGGGTATAATATCGAATATCAACCCCGTACGGCCATCAAGTCTCAAATTTTAGCAAACTTCGTGGCCGACTTCACGCCAACCCTCATACCCGAAGTCGAAAAGGAACTCCTTTTG